TCTCCTCTCCTCTCTCTCCTCTCTCTCTCCTCTCTCCCTCTCCCTCCCTCTCTCCCTCCCTACACACCAACCAATGTTTTTGATTACTTCTGGTTTGGGGATAAAGCGGTGTGATTTTTAGAACACAGACATGGGGATTCTCTCTAGGGTTCCGCTTGTGAAAACATTCCAATCAAAATGCAGATGGGAGATATCTACTTACCAGTATTCCCATTTCCATGGTTACCCTGAGGCTGTATCTCACAGCATTTGGAGTGAGCAAAACTACTGATGCCCACCTGCAGAGTGATGAACCCTGTCGCTTTGCGTGGCAAACACTGTCCCGACCCTTTAACATCCAATCAAATCAGAGACAGTGGAGGGGAGAGGGAGTGAGGGAAATAAAAAGAGAGGAAATGGGGACAGAGAGGGGGGAGAGAAGTTAGTAGTAGAGAGGGGAGAGAAAGAAAGAGGGGAGATAGAAACAGAGGGATGGGGGACAGAAAGAGGGATTGGGCAAGAAAAAGAGGAGAGAGAGAGAGAGAGAGAGAGAGAGAGAGAGAGAGAGAGAGAGAGAGAGAGAGAGAGAGAGAGAGAGAGAGGGAAAGCAGGTGTATGAATGCAGATATGAGTGTGATGAAATAAACATACTGAAATTTGTCTACCCAGCCAAGTGTCAAGTGCGTGCGTGTGTGTGTGTGTGCGTGCGTGCCTGTGTGTATCTCTGTGTGTGTGTATGCATGCGTGTGTCTGTGTGTGTGTGTGTGTGTGTGTGTGTGTGTGTGTGTGTGTGTGTGCGTGCCTTGTGCGTCTGCAAATGTATGTGTGTGACTCTACACAGTGCTGTTGTGTCACCTCTGCTGGAATGGAGTTTCTCTGAGTTGGGTTCCGGAACGTTCTCTGAGTGTTATGCTGGTAATGAATCCCAGAGGTCTGGTTAAGTATCAGATGCCTCCCTGGAATCTCAGCTCCTCTCATTCCTCTTCTGCTCTCTCAATAGGTAATTGGCTTGGCTCTAATAAACCAAACTGACGGAACATGTCGTTGTCACACTAACCATTACTCCTGTCTGTCTTAGCTTACTTGAGGAGCTTCCATAGAAATAGAATGACAATTCAAGTCAATGTTCTGTGATGGGTGGATCGGCCGCCATATTGAGTGTACGCATAGGAGTACATTTGATCTCTTCTTCCCTTTTTCCCTCATGACCCTGTCTCTCTTCTTCTTCCCTGCATCTCCTCTCCATAGGTGTGAGCGAGGCAGCCTCCATAGTGAACATGCGTAGAGTCACCCACCCTACCATACAAGAGCCTCTGGCCGGGTTCGCCCACCTCCCCTGCGTCTTCACCCACAAGCCCAGTGAGCCCAGACCCTCCAGCCAGCCTCCCCAGATCCAGTGGACCCGAACCTGGGTACCACATGGAGGAAAGGGGGGTCCCCTGGAGCAGATGGTTCTCTCAGCCAAAGGTAAAGAAAGTAACAATAGTCTTAAATTAAAGCTAATGATTCAATGATAGTGTTTCAACCAACATGGTCGTAGACTGTTTCAACCAGCATGATATTATTTTCAATCAACATGGACTTAAACATCCCACATTTGGATTTTTGTAATACGCTATGAAATTAACAGGTCATTCATTATGACAAAATGATGTGGAGTATACACTTTCATAGAAAAATGTATATTTTTTATTTCTTTGCCCAAGGTGACGTGGTGAAGGTGAATAAGGCTTTCGCTGGGCGGGTCAGGTTGCTTGGATATGCTGCCAACAACCTAAATGCTACCATGGAGATCTCAGGCCTCCGTAGCAAAGACACAGGCACCTACCACTGCCAGGTTGTCGTGGGAGACAACTACGAGCGAGACATATTGCCCCTTGTGGTCATGGGTGAGGGGTTTATACTGTAGCTGACTGTATGCTGTTGTAATTGAAGTTGAGATACCTTTTTTTCTCCAATTTATTACAGTATATCTTTGTTTGCAACAATTACAAGAAGGATCTTCTTTGAATTCTTTAACTAGTGTGTATTGTGAATCACTTCTAATTTTTACATTTTTTTTTTACACTCATTTTACACAGTAGAGTTCATCAATAGTAAAAAAGCGTACTTATTATATTTCTGAAAGCTAGACAAATCCATACGGTGGATAACCAAGCTCTTTGTCCCTTCAAATGATCATTAATGGCATCTTAGAAACCTCAGTGGGAAAATGTGCCCTTTTACTTAATGACCATTGGTCCTTCACATTGAGTGTTGGTACAAAGCCTCCTTTATCTTATTAAACACTTATTACATTGATTCATCATATCAATATCACAATTACTTTCTCCAGTCTTACTTTGCTCTGCTTCTGTTTTCGTTATTGGTTCATATTAACAGACTAAAAGTCCTTAACACTGTAATTAATGTGAAGTGCATGGATTGAATACCAATGACAAGTACCCTGTGACTGTCACTGCTCTTTCATGAAATGCAGCTAAAAGAACACAGAGGTTTTCCAATTGATCTGTTCAGAATGGGGACAGTGAACCTATTTGGTTGCCAACCAGTGCATCTGTATAATATTTCAAAGTAGGGCTATGTCCTGCACATCCAATATACTACTGCAGGTGCAGAGGAGTGAACAAAAAGTGAGAAAACATCTGCTACATTCTGATGTTGATATTAGCATAATTTATTGTCTTACATTGCCACATGGAGAGTAACATTTCATTGAGTGACCTTCGCCGGTGAATGAACATCCTAATGATCTAATTGATTGCACAAACGCCCTTCTGTTTGTCTGAGACAAAGACACACTTAGCATCACAACACAAACCTGTGTGTGACTGTGTCGTACGCTGCTAAAACAGCCCCCTCGGGACTGTACTGAATTGAGTGCTTGTTTGTTTTTAGTCAATACATTTACAAAGTATTTTTTACTTTATGTGTGTGTCCTTGCAGTGTTGATCAAGAAAGAGAAAAATGCAAGAGAGGGGGAGAGAGAGAGAAAGAAAGAGAAAGTGTCTGTCAGTCACCTCACCTCTGTGTCTCTCTCCTCAGGTGTGGTATTCCATTACCGGTCTCCTAGCAACCGTTACGCCCTCTCATTCGATGATGCCCACTGGGCCTGTCAGGAGAATTCCGCCCTCATCGCCACGCCAACCCAGTTGTGGGCAATGTTCTACAATGGCTATGCCAACTGTGCTGCCGGATGGCTCTCCGACCAGACTGTCCGGTGAGGGCACAAACACACACACACACACACATACACAGACAGAAACATCTCACCGGTCACCCCTGTCACATCCAAACACTCACTTACAATAAAACTCACCGCATACTGTTTGGAGGACAGCCATAATTTGATACTTTGAACATTTGGTGCAAACAAAGAGGCTAGTTTTCTGGCTCTGATTCTATTAACATTATCTCCACAGCTATCCTATCCAGTCACCAGAGCGTGGTTGCTATGGACAACAGGAGTATTCGGCTGGTGTGAGGAATTATGGAAATAGAGACCCTAATGAGCTGTTTGATGTCTACTGTTTCGCCAGGGAACTGGACGGTGAGACAGACACACGCACGCATACACATGCCCACACGCACACACACACACACACAGACACACACACACACAAACACACACACACAGAAGCATCTCACTTCCACTCCTGAGTCACTTTAATAAAATTGGCTTGTGAATTTGTAGGCTTGTGAAAGGACAATAAAGATATCTGAGTCAGAACTTCCTCTCTCTCTATCGCTCTCTTTCTCTCTCCTTCTCTCTCCCTCCCCCCTCCCCTCTCTCTATCCAGGTGAGGTATTCCACTCATGGGTCCCAGGGCGTCTGTCTCTGTCCTCTGCCTCAGACCGCTGCATCTCCCTGGGGGGACAGTTGGCCACGGTGGGGCAGCTCTACCTGGCCTGGAGGGCTGGGCTGGACAGCTGTGCTCCAGGCTGGCTCTCTGACGGGAGTGTCCGCTACCCAATCACCCAGCCCAGGCATGGTTGTGGAGGGGACCAGCCAGGGGTCCGGACCGTTGTACCCAACACCAATGAAACCACAACCAGCAGCGGATCTGCCAATGCTACAGACGCCACACCACTCTATGATGCCTATTGCTACAGAGGTGAGAATGAAGTCCAGATCTGGAGTCCAAGAGATCAAGTTCAAAGTTAATAGGTTACATTGTCAATGTTAGGCTAAAATGGAAACTTCTCTTACATGAGTCACTGATAAACACAAAGTTCATATTTTAACATCATGATGATAAAACATCCAAGACCTTTCCTCCATTCACTGATTACAAAGTATTCCTAGAGGTATGACGACTGGACCATCTCTACTGAATCGCCTCGATGGTTTGTGAAGTAACCATGACGATGCTGTTGCCCACCATGACATGCGTTGCCATGGACGTAACCATAGCAACACCGGTTTTGTTAAAATAATTTGATTCATGGGAACTCAAACTACTGTAGCATAGCTGGTCCCTTTGTTTAGAATTATTCCTCATTTATGCAAAGAGTTATGGGATATTAGAATCCTCTCGTCTTAACCTTTGTTATATACTGGAACTGCTGGATAGACTTCTAGGAAGTGGAAGAGCGCTTTAGAGAGAAGAGGAGAGATGATTAATTAGACAGGAATTTATTGCACATACTCTCCATGAACCCTCGGTCATTGTTCATTCAATTGGTTTGAACATCTCCTGCACATGCATGCTCTTCAAATCCTTATGGTTTCATCAGGGAATGTAAAGAAGCCAGGCTCCATCTCTAAGATCTATGCATCTCTGTGGAAGCCCTGGAGCTACCTTACCGGCTCCAGTGACACAGACACTCCAGGAACAGACAGCCTTTCCCTGGCTACTGAGACCACCAGCAGCCCCGCGACCACCGGTGGGTTAGGATTTGAATGGATAGATGTAGAGTAATGAGTTTTCAATATGGTTGAATGGCAAGAAGGATTTTCTATTAATAATCCTCCTTTTTCTCCCATCTTCACAGAGAGCCGTAACCTTTCACCTTCTGATGACCTCACACTCTCGAACTGGACAGGATTGGTTGATCTGGAGGAAGAGGCCCACTCTTGTAAGAAACTTTATCCGGATCTAAAATTATATTCTATTGCACATATAGAGCGCCTGTTTTTTGTTGGTTATTATTACTGTAATTCAGTGTGTTGATCTTCTCAGCCTCAGACCCCTGGTCCTCAGAGTCCTCTGAGGGGTATGTCACCCTGCAGCTCAGCCCAGGAGAGAGCTCTCTAGCCTGGGGAGACCTGGGAGTCATGGACCCTAACTCTGGAGCTTTCCTCAGACCTCCAGCCACCCCCAGCCCCAGCTCAAGTTCTACCACACAGAAAGAGGAGTTATCACCCTCCAACCCAGACCCCACTGATAGAAAGGTTGGTACATTTTTACAATATTGATTGATTAGAAGTACTGTATCATCAGGGTACTTTGGCATACAGGCACTTTTTGGCTCTAGTATTGTTTATTGTATTACAGTATATTCATTGTATTGGCTGTATGGGGGTCTCTGTCTAAAGGTGATGGCCAAGATAGTGAAGTCCATGTGGAAGCCGTGGAACTACCTGGTAGGGGTGACAGAAGGTACCCCAGGAACAGGCAGTCCAGAGGGGGAGAGAAAGGGAACTACGGAGGGGACTCTGACTGAGAGCGAGACTGTGCCCACCGGTTCTCCTGTCTCTCCTGCTCCAGGTTAGTTGGGACTTTTTGCTTTATTTTGGTTGTGATACTGAGACAAACAGCTAGAGAGAAAGAAAAGAGAGAACGCGAGAGACAGAAAGAGAAAGAGAGACTGTGTTTGTGAATGCGTGCTTGCACGTTAGTCTGGGTCAAAAACTGTCTTACTGCCCTTTTCAGTAGTCTAAGCTTCATTAATACAGATATGTTCTCTGGCCCCATTCAACCCAAAGGCATACATATTTAACAGAGATGGGAACCTTAGACATTGTTGTCTGCATTATTTAAGCCTTTTCTTCTAATGAAGGGTTTTCTGGGATGGTAAAACAAATAGCAACACAATAGAAGAGAAAGGCTTAGAAGTATTGGTTTTGTCTCTCAGGAAGCACACAGTGAATTCAAGATATGCTCTCCGCTATGCTCTGGCATGATCTCTCTCTCTCTTTCTGCCCCTTCCCTCTTCTCATTCCTTTTTCCTTCCTTCTCTATCCTATCTCTCCCACTGCCTCCTTTAACTTCCTCTCTTTCTTCCCCCTGTAGGATTACTCTCATGGGGTCATGGGTGGTGGGATAGCTTAGGGCTGGGGGACCTAGATGACATACCACCCACTGGTGAGCCCTCATCCTCCCCAGCTCCGCTCACCTCTACCCCAGCCTCAGAGAGCCAGTCCTCTGCCTCCTCCTCCACCCCTATAGGATGGGAGGCTGTCCCAGACACCACTCAGCCCAAAGGGGAGACGTGGGTACGAGTGGCCCCATCCAAAGGTGAGATCTCGCCCCAGCCGGATGATAGGAAAAAGGGAGATGCTACCACTAGTGCCACTAGAGCAGATGGCCTGGCCAGTGCTGGGAGATGGAGAGCGATGGTCAAAGAGGAGGAGGGGAGTGCTGAGGGGGCCTCCGAAGAGGCGAGAGGGGAGATCCAGGGGAGATCCAGTCTCCCCGTTGGAACCATCAATCCCAAACTCAGAATCCCTCCATCCAACGAGAGAACCACAAGGAAGGGGCAGTCAGGAGCTAGTCGCAGCACAACCCAACCCCCAGTCAGCAGCTCCACAGCTGGGTCAGACAGCAGAGGCTCTTCCCCTCCATCCAGACCAGGTACTGGAGCTCTAGCCCCTCCACCCTCAGCCTCAGTCATCCAGGGAAGCTCCAGGGAGGCCTCCCCATCCCTCTCCTGGGTCTCAGTGGAGAGATCTGGAGAGCAGGGAGGTGAGGGGCCAGAGAGTGGGCCCCTGGCACTGCCCTCCGGACCCCCAGTGGAAGAAGATACAGCCTGGTCTCACGCACTGGGCTCTGGGTTGCCTAGCAACCTGGACGAGGAGGGTGGCAGGAGTGCCGGATTCAACCGGAGCAACGGAACTCTGGGCTCAGCTGGTAAGTTCTGTGTGTTTGTCTGTCTGTCTGTCTGTAGACCATGGAGCTTACAACACCAAGGGTTGTGGGTTCGATTCCTGTTGGGGCCACCCATACAACAAATGTATGCATGCACAACTGTAAGTCGCTTTGGATAAAAGCGTCTGCTAAATGGCATATATTATTATTATTCATGTAATTATTACTATTATTATTATATATTATTTTTAATCAACAAAATTCCACACAAAGCTGAACAAAACAGCAACATCATATTTTCCCATTTCTGTCTATCATGGCCCAGTCTGGTACGTGTACAATCCCCACGTTTGTTTCCTCACTGCTGTTATTCAATCTGTTTTTCAATTCAGAGATAATAGCGTTTTGCCTTTCGACCTACAATACACCTCATACCAGACCCACCCTGTAGGTCCTCCCACTAGGGAATAGGAAGGTAGTCATGCCTCCATAGATACAGCCCTGATGAAGTTCACAGGCATGTTTGAGTTCTGTATATCTAGCACCTGCTGTAGTGTCTCTCTCTCCAGAGCTATTTCTCACCTGATAATGAATGAGGCTTGTAGCTGAATCATCATATTACCTGCCCCTCCCCTCCCCCTTAGGCATTCCTGCATTACACATTTCTGTGGTGATTTATTTTGCTCTCTTTGCAACAGTTCATGTTGTCAACAGTGGTAGATATCAATTATTTATATATACACCAGATTACTGATAGGGGGAGCTGTGTTGAAGCCACCACGTCTCCATCTTGACACTCCCCCACCGTTGTAAAAACTATTTTGGAAGCTATAGCTTATGCATTTTTTCATGTCTACATTCTTTTTTGCCACATGTATTCTATTATAGACACCTTAATGCACACTGTTAAATTATATAATGTGAGCTAAACATAAAAATCTAAAATGAAAAAATATATAAAAACATTTTCCTTAAAGTATAACTTTTTTAGATTACTAATGTTATATATATATATTTTTTTAGCAGACGCTCTTATCCAGAGCGACTTACATTAGCAATTAGGGTTAAGTGCCTTGCTCAAGGGCACATCAACAGATTTTTCACCTAGTCTGCTCGGGGATTAGAACCAGCGACCTTTCGGTTACTGGCACAACGCTCTTAACCACTAAGCTACCTGCCGCCACTACAACACCAAAAATACATAAATACATGTAATTTTGTCCTTGAAACATTACATTTAAAAACTGTAGAATTCCATTAATTCCTATGGAGGACTGCTCTTACTGGGGAGTGCCAATATACGACCGGTGGCTTCAAAGCCTCTCAATGGTTCTACATAGCATCAGCAATCTAGGGTTTATAAACATAATTGGTAGATATGCTCTGTATTCCTCAGAGGCTGAAGCGTGATGAGTAAATGTGTAACCAAAGACTGTGGTTTATAAAAGTGAAAAGTATTGACAGGGACGTCAGATAATGTTATGTGGTGTTGTTCATTGAATTGATAGCCTCTGACCTGTATTAACCCCTTATTTCCATCCCATACATTAGCAGCCCCACTACACAAACAGAAAAAAATGATTGAGGAGCTCATGGGATACTGGGTCTTTCTCTCTCTCCCTCTCTCTTTCTTCTTTCTTTCTTCTTTCTTTCTTTCTTTCTTTCTTTCTTTCTTTCTTTCTTTCTTTCTTTCTTTCTTTCTTCTTTCTTTCTTTCTTTCTTTCTTTCTTTCTTTCTTTCTTTCTCTCTCTCTCTTTCTCTGTGTTCTGTCAGAGTACAGAGGTGACAAATGTTTGTTTTTCCTGACTGGATCAGAGTGGACCTCATCAGGCTGTGTAATCAATAAGGGGCTGCAGGAGAGGGTGCTCATGTTTTATATACTAGCCTCAAGGGCCCTCCTCTGTCTCTCTCTCTCTCTCCCAAACCCTATCACATCCTCTTTATATCTTTCTCACACCTTCATAAATCCTCTCTTTCTCTCCTTCTCTCTCTCAACCTTTCACCTCTCGCTCACTCAACCTTTCACCTCTCTTTCTTTCTTTCTCTCTCTCTCGCTCACTCTCTCTCTCTCGCTCTCACCCGCTCTCTTTCCTTTGCTCTCCATTTCTCTATCCCTCTCCTTCTCTGTGGCTTTGAATGAGCTGTAGGTCAAAACAAGCTGCTTCTCTGAGTTGGTTGGTCTGTTTGTCTGTTGGTGTGTTGGTGCATAGGTCCTGGTGTCAGGTACAGGGTGAAAGGATAGCCTGTCAGCTCATTCTCTGCCCTATTGATTTCTCTGCTCCACTCGCTTTAATGAACGACCAGCCACTGTAGGCTAATCTGGCTTATACGCATTTGTGTGCGCACACACACAAATCACACACACACACACACACACTAAAGTATTTAATTGGTCCTCTGGCTATCATAAAGGCTCCCAACAGTGATGTTTGTGATGGCTAGTCTTGACCTTGACTGATACGGCAACATACTAGTGGCACGGTAGCAGCAACACATCGCTAGCCTTAGCACCTGACCTCAGCACAAAATTGACCTTAGAAGGATTAACTCAGTGTGTCAGTCGCTATGAAACACGAAAATACATCGATAATCTAAAGCGTAGCACAGGAGCTGGAAAGAAATTATAGCAATGACTATGTTCATAGACCAAATACACATTAATATCAAGGGTTGAATTTACCCAATTACTATGGCATACTGTGGTTGCGTTTAGTTTTACTCCTGTTAGATGTTGTGTTTATCTGTCTAGTATTGTAGACCGAAAAGAATAGCCAGCATGATGATTATTGTGAGGATGTCATTAAGAAAAGTCTGCTATGTAGAAGATGGAATCAGCCTGCACGCAAATCATAGCCTGGGTCAGAGCTTGGCAATATGGACAAAAATCCATATCGCGATACATTGCCTGAATTAATACGATAACGATTTTAACAATATATTTACAACAATGTGAACCACAGTTTTGTTTTATTTCCCTTTAAACTGCTACTACTAGTTTGGATGCTGTAGCTATCAATTTTCCCATTAACAATCACCCATATTAGCAAACTTATTTTATTTAAAACTTCACATTTCTCTAGTATAGGCTACTTACCATAATGAACGATTTCAGAAAAATGCCCACGATAAGTGGTCGGTATAGTCGGTGTCAATAATTTTCAGTTTATCGTCCCAGCTCTAACCTGGGTATTGATTTTTACCCTCTGTGTGATGGGTAAACACACACTCACACACACATGCACGCACACACACACACACACACACACACACACACACACACACACACACAATCACATACAGTGCTGCTTGAAAGTATGTGAACCCCTTGTGCAATTACAGATTTTTTCAGTTATTACCATGAAATCTTCATTTAATCAGAACCAATCTTTTTGATCTGACATAACAGGTTTATATTTACCAATATGATATGTTGATGTAGAGGAAACCATGCGTGTAGTAGAAAAATTAAAAATAAAATTAAAAAGGAATTAGTGCAGGTGCAAAAATAAGTGAACCCCAAGTTGCATTGGTTAAATCAAGAATCGGGTGGGTAAATAATTAGCTACCAAATGAACCAATCAAAGGAGAGATCGTTAGGAAAAAGTTTGGGCGGGACACTGATAGAGATAAGAAACCCGGTCAGTTTGGTGTTACCCATCCAGGAAAAGAGATCTCAGAGGACATCAGGTGTCACGACTTCGGCCGAGGCTGCCTCCCCTCCTTGTTCGGGCAGGCTTCAGCGTTCGTCGTCACCGGAGTACTAACCACTGCCGCCCCAATCATCATCACAATTGTCTTGTCTCGTTATCACACACATCTGGTTCTAATCCCCTAATTAGTCCGTGTATAAGTGTTCCCTCTGCCCCCTTGTCCTTGTGGGTGATTGTTTATTGTGAAGGTTAGTGAAGCTTGGTGGAGCTCGTGTATTTTGTTCGACGGGAGTATTTTCCTGTGTGCCTTGCATTTTCCAGTGCACCTGTTTTGTGCCCTGGAGTGTGTTTGACGCAGATCTGCGTAAACCTGTATTTTGCGGATTAAAGCCTGTTATTCTGTGATTTACCCTCCTGCGCCTGACTCCTTCAACACCACCTTATCACAGAATCACCCACCCGAATATGGAGTCAGCGGGAGAAGAGCGCATGCCTGGAGTCGTGGCACAGGTCCAGGAGCATTCCACGATGCTGGCCAGCTTGGAGGAAGCGATGGATCGGGTTCTTCAGGTCGTCCAACGCCTGGAGAGGAGAGAACCCGATCTGTCGAGACCAGCTGGCCAACTGGATCCAGCCACCTACACCCCAGCACCCAGAGGGATCCAGATATCCCGACCACAGGCGTTTGATGGGACGACGGCGCTGTGCCAGGGATTCCTCCTCCAATTGGAGCTTTACTTCGCCAGAATCAGGCCGGAACCATCGGAGCGGGAGAAGGTGTCCGTCCTCGTTTCCTGCCTCTGTGGGAAAGCCCTGGAGTGGACCAACGCGGTGTGGAACGAAGGAGGAGCCGCGTTGGAGGACTACAGGGAGTTCGCTCGCCTCTTTCGGGCGGTCTTCGATCACCTTCGAACGAGCGGGCCCTGATTGACCATTTCCGGCCAATCTGTGGGAGGACGTCCGACGGAAGCTAGCCTGCCGAGACACCATGTTGTCCTTCAACAAACTGATGGACATGGCCATTCATTTGGACAACCTGCTGGCAGCCAGAGGACGTCCTGGTAGGGGTCTGCCCGTTTCCACCCTGGACGACTCGGATCCCGAGCCGATGGAGCTGGGTGGAGCCGCTGGCCGAGAGAGCGGAGGAGGACAATACACTACACGTCGTAGTCAACATTATTTTGGGCCGGGAGGCGGCAGGCAGGGCACTCACGCATCACCCCAGATATCAAACACCCACACTTGTTCAGAGCCCTCTGCTGCACACTGTACCCTACCTATCCACTTTCCCGATGTCATGGTAGTTGCCCAGTGTAAGGCGCTAGTCGATTCAGGCGCAG